GCGGCCCGGTGGCCACGGACGGCGGGGGGCGTCTCGCCAGTAGGGCCTAGGCATGTCTGCTGCGTCTTGCGCGGCTGCCGGTGGCCAGTGTGCAAGGCCCGAAATGGCACCTCGTGTGGTCATCTCCAGGACGGATCTTGACCGTCCGGGCGAGTGTCCGGCGTGCTCCTCGATGATCTGACCTAGAGGCCATGGTGGGGCGTTGCAAGGGCCAACGTGAGGAGGCTGGCTGGAGGGATGGGTGGTCTGCCCACCCGTCACCGGTGCGGGGTTGTGCCGATCGAGGTCTCGTACCGCTCTGCCCCTTCTCTTTCCCCTGGCCTAGTTGCCTCCGGCTGCATTTTGTTGAAGCGTGGTTGGCGCTGGCAGCTCCAACAATGGTAGGTCTGATGGTGGTGGCGATCCGATCCTTTGAGCGGCCGATGCAGGTGTCGGGTGGCAGGGCGGCGGCTCTGCGGTGGAAGCTGCGATGTTCATGGGCGGAGCTCGCAGCTCGGGTGCGGACGGCTGATCTTGGTTGCGTGGGCGAAGGGGTGGCTCGGGCTTGGCGATCCGTGATGGTGGTGCGATAGGTCTCTTCGACCGGACGCACCTTGATCGGAGGTGGAGAGGTTTGCTGGGTGAAATCCTTGTCTGACCGTGGTTAGACCGACGGTGGCGGTGTCCGCGGGCGTCGTCCCCTTCTTGTAGGCTCCGTCGTGGTCTCTCCTGTTACTCCATGTTGCTCCGGATGAAAATCTTGATCATTTGGATTGGGTGGTGGTGGCGCTCTGGTGTCGTGTCCTTCTTGAATACCTTGGAGCTCACGGTTCGTCGGCGATCAGTTGTGTTCTTCACGGTGGCTTGTTGTCAGTGGAGGGATCCGTCATCTTCGTAGTGATTCTTGTTGTTCATCTATTGTTCGCTTCGAGTTGGCTTAGCTGATCTCCGACACCTTTGTATCTTGCTTTGAGTGTGTGTGTTTGCGTGTCATGCTGTATGGTTCAGATGTACGAGAGTCGTTGCTTTATCTATAAAGCAGGGCAAAAGCCTTTTTCGGTAATCATGCCATCGTGTCACCCTCCATCAGGACTATGGCCTTGTTCGTGTAATGGTGTCGTTTTGGTGAAGGTGGTGTTAAGACTGCCCATGTGTTCATACATTTGTTGTTTCCATGTGTTGCCTTTTGCCATTCTAGTATATTTGTTGCATTTCTATTCCAACATGTGGTATTATCGAAAAAGGCTTTCGCCCCCACTTTATATATAAAGCCACAATCAACAGCACCCGGTACAAACGCGCGCCCGCACAACACACGCACACACACCCAAGGCAGGATACATAGACGCTAAGCGCAACAACACCATCCCTAGCACTACGCGAGGAGGTGAAGCTGCATATGACGAACCATGAGCTCCAAGGCGGCGCCTTCAGGAAGGGGACGACATCGGAGCGCCGCCACTGCCTGATCTGAGGATCAGAGTTTCCCTTGGAGCAACACAAAGGGCAATGAGAGCCGCGACGACGCCTTCAAGAAGGGAACGCGCTTCGCCGCCACCGGTACATCCAAAGATAGAGCAGGTTTTCACCCTAGACACCATTCACCGCCGCTGAATGCCACACCCCGGCTACCACGTCGCCCCCACGGCCATGGCAGTCGGGCAACACCAAGCCACGGGCTCTGCCCATGAACACCGCGAACCCACCACCAGGGTCGCCGCCCCGGCATCCAAGACCTTGTCACCACCTCACCCGAGATTTGCCGCTACCCCAACCAACGACACAAGCGGAAAGGACCCGCCTTTTGCATCCCTAGGCTGCCCCAGTGCTGAGGCCCAATAGGTCGGCCAAGACTGGCCTCCATCGCCCCGTCCAGTAGAACCGGGAGCGAGACGAGCTCGGTCCTGCTGCCGGGCACGAGACAAGGTCAGTCCTGCCGCCGGGTGCGAGACGAGCTCGGTCTTGCTGCCGGGTATGAGATGAGTGATGGACCGCAGCTGGGGGAGGGTCAACCATCGACGAAGATAGCGGACAAACGCCCTAGAAGGATCGAAGGTTGACACAGGCCGCACACTAACGGGCCGACGCCGGAGAAGTCCAGCCGCTGTCGTGAACGACCCAGACCACTGCCATGAGCCACCACCTCGAGCGGAGGAGAAGATCACAGTATCCACCACCACGCTGCCGCCACCACCCACCACTGCAGGGCGGCCGCCCGTGGCCCAAGTCGCCCACGGCCCGCGCCGTCATAGGGCTGAGCAAGCAAGCCCGCGGCCACCCGCCAGCCTGGACGCACACCAATCACCGCCTCCCCCACGCTTCCAGCTCCGCAAGACACCGGCCATGGTGGAGCCAGACGCCCATGACCCAAGCAGCACGTTGCCCCCACATCGGGCCATCGGAGCCAAATCCGCCAGATCTGGATGGGGCCGTCGCACGCGTCACCGCCAGAGAAGCCACGCCGCAGCCGCCGCATGTTGTTGGGATACCAAGCCGCTGCTGCACCGCCGCCACCCAGCACGCTCGCCGCTACGCCGCTGGCCCCACACAGCCCAGCGTCCGCTGCCACGGTGGACGCCAACCGCGAGGAGAGGGAATAAATCCCCGCCGGCGCCAACGCCGGACGGACTTTGTCGGGCGGCGTTGTGCGGAGGTGGCGGGGGAGAGAGGCGGCTAGGTGTTTACCCCGAGGGCGCTCGCGGGAGCGGCTGGGGGGGGGATTATCACATTTCTTTACCTAATAATAAAGTAAATTGAGTTTCTTTCGTCTGTCATGGCATTTTTCAGAAAAGTCCTTCTATTTCAGAGAAGTCAACCCGCAGTCCTGTTTTAAGTCGAAATGAATCGTTTTTTTTTCATATTTTACACAAAAGTCCCTGTGTTTTCTTGAAATCAACCTGCCGTCCGGATTTAAGTCACACCCGAACCGTTTTTTTACGTTTTCCGAAAACCCCCTGACGTTTTAGGTAATTCATCCGCGGATCATATGTAAGTCAAACAAATACTTTTTTAAATCATCCATATCTTTTAAACCGTAACTCCGATTTGAACATGTTATATATGAAATTTGATTAGAAAAATATGTAGAATATGAATCTGAGATTATTTTTACCTATTAAGTATTTTTAATATTATTTTGGAATATATTTAAATCAAACAAATGATTTTCTAAATTATCCGTATCTTTTAAACCGTAACTTCGATTTTAACATATTATATATGAATTTTTATTAGAAAAATGTGTGGAATCTAACTAAGATGTTAATTTTACCTGTTAAATTTTTTCAAATATTGTTTTGAAAGAAAACTTATAATTTCTAGCGCAAGATCCGTTTTTCTTTCGTACCGGCGGCGATTCGGATTGCAAATAAACACCCCACTATAACCATATAGGCAAAAGAAAACATCAATAACTACACATGCATACCTCTGAAAAATGTCGCAGGGGAAAACAACAGATTTCTCATCGCGAGAATGAGAGAAAGCGAGAGAGAGAGAGAGAGAGAAAGGGGCGAGGAAGGAGAGAGGGAGAGAGAGACGCCTTAGGATTAACCATATTCAAACACATTTTTTTGTTGTTTTGTGTGAACACTAAGGCCATCGCCGGCGAGGGTGAGAAGGAGGATAAGCGGCAACACAAAATATGATGCCTCGCAAATATAAAGGAGATGGACCTATTGAGTGATGGTTGTTAGGTTAAGAGTGTGTTATGTTTTTTGTTACCCCGTTGCAATGCACGGGCTCTTTTGCTAGTAACCTATAAGGGCATCTCCAGCCGTTGGCCCCCCAGGAGG